ACTAAACCCAACTCTTCCCTAATGCCAAATTCCACATTGCCTGCTCTACTTCATTCCTAACTAAAGCCAACTCTTCCCTAAGGCCAAATCTGTTCAGAGCTGAAGAAGTTAAGCAGGTACAATAGGGTCAACCAGGACAGGAAAGAAGCATCTGGAAGATGTATCGTGTACACCATTCCATTTCATGCTCACTTCTTAGTAAATAAGGACAGGGTTCACACCACACCCCAGGCAGCCTACTGAAGACTTAGAAACACAGTTCACAGTGAACTGAGAGCGAACCAGAAGAGAATAAATCTTTCAGATCACACCAAGTACTTCTAGGCTGGACAAGAGCTGGTCCCTCATGCCGTGTCAGTCATGACACATCTCCCAATGGCAGAAACTCTCAAGGAACCGTTCACACTGGCACTAGGTGTGCAAGGGTCACTAGCTTCTTGATGTAGAGCCCTACAGAGCTTCAAATCAGACCAGGTGTGCAAGGTGTGGTCACTTACTTCTGGATGTAGGGGCCTAAGGAGCTTCGAATCACAGTGTCCGTGGTAAGCAGACAGCTCTCAGGCAATGAAATAATCATCTGTCCCTCCTTGCCAAAGAGAAAGTAGAGTTAGGACACCTCAGCTTTGCAAACACAGAACGGCATCATTACATATCAAGAGCCCCCCAGAGTGCAGACAGTACAGGCCTGTCTTGCAAAAATGAGAAAAGCACAGACTATATTAGGGCCATTCCTATGATAGACTGTGTGGAAGTAAAATCTTTGCTTTACCAAGACAATCAATGAAAATTTGCTTGGCTTAACTGTGATTAACAAGAAAAAATTAGCTGTGATTAACAAGAGACCAGCATCACTGAAATAAGCCTGGGAAGTACTTCCTCAGCATCAGTACACAGAGGCTGTGGTTCAGTGGGGAATCCATCACACGGCACTGGTTTGAAGGCAGGAAGGGATCATCAAGAGCTAAGGCTCGGCACTGTGAGATCCATGAGACGTCACTGATGAAGGTGCAGCCTCTGTTGCAATGGAAACATCATGACTGAAGAGGCCCTGAAGAGAAGTTGAGGTTTGGCAATATCAGAAGCCAGGAGAGGCCACTGGAAGAGATACGGCCCCAACTTCAGTGGACACTCCAGTATATTAGAGAGCCAGGAGAAGGAGATGACCACCGAGGAGAGTAGCAGGTGTAGAGTGAAGCTGGCCTCAGCCTACAAAACAAGCTGTTCTGGAAGGCAGAGCCCAGAAGATATGAGTGAGCCCCAGGTACCAGACAATGAGCTACACAATCCCGGGATGCATTGCTGGGCTCTGATTGAGCATGGCTGTTTTTAAGCCTCAATTCTTCCTTTTTGGACTTAGGAAGTATTTAATTTTTTTTTCCTTAAGTCCTAAGACTTTTGTTTATTTTAACAAATATTTTCATGGCTCAGAATGTCTTTGAAACAAATACACTTTATATAGTAATAAACAAAATATAAAAATGGAAGCCAACTGAAAAAGACAACTAGGTAACAGATATAAGAACTTCTGATTTTGCCCATGTGACTTCTCTTTTCATTGCTGCACACCTAAAACAGGTCTGATGAGAATTACAACAGTCTTGCAAAACCTACTCAGGTGTTAATTAATGAAATTGTGTTTAATAAATTATATGAAAATGTGTTTAAATATTTTGGGAATAATATTAACAAAAGTATCTCTCTATACTTTGTCTTGCTTCAGCCTCTTTCTTAAAAGACTGCATCCAGTTCTGCACATGGATAGCGTAGCTTTCCCTGACAGCACACTCCCACTTTACCACAGTGTGATTTATGGGAGGAGTGTTACCCACAGGAAAAGAAAGAATTTAACATGGTGGGTAAAGTACTGCAATCCATTAATTCAAATTACGCATCATTGTTGGCCTGTATTTTGATAGTCCGCTTTTTCTCAGGCATCACTTTCAAATTATATTCTATTCAGTGAGGTTTCTTTTTTTAAATATTTTTTTAAATTTATTTTATGGATATGAGTGACCTGTCTTTGGGCACAGCAGAAGAGGGCACCAGATCCTATTACAGATGGTTGTGAGCCACCATGGGTTGCTGGGAATTGAACTCAGGACCTCTGGAAGAGCAGCCACGGCTATTCACCACTGAGCCATCTCTCCAGCCCCTCAGTGATGTTTCTTATGAACATCTCAGAAGCCTTCACTTCTGAGAACACTTGTGCCAACAGCTACTTCCTTGAATGGATTCCCTTCCTGAAGAGAGCTGCCCAGGAAAGAGTCATGTCTCACCTAGCACATCCAGGCCCTGGAAGAAACCATGTTGTCCTCTGTGAAAAGACAGGAATACCAAAAATCCAGAAGATTTGTTTATCTACTTACTTACTTAGTTAGTTTTGAGACTCGGTCTCTCTATGTAGCTAGCCCTGACTGGCCTGGAACTCACTCTGTAGACCAGACTGGCCTTGAATTCAGAGATTTGCCTGACTCTGCCTCCATTAAGGTGAGGGCCGCCATGCCTGGCCTTGAAGCTTCCTGAATTTGCCATTACAAACGCTATCATCCCCCCAGAAAGCAGTGCTGAACTAGGAATGTCTTCAGCTCCTCGGAGCTCACAGACATGTGCTCATCTTTGGCAGGCTATGTTCTTTACCGATGTGCAACTCTGAACAATGTTCTTGTGTGTCCCTCACATCCGCATACAAAGTAGCAGCTTCTCATGGACGAGCCAAGGACAACACTTCTTCATTTCAGCATCTGTCCTGGAACTCTTCAGGGTGTTAGCACGTGCACAAGGGTAAACAAAGCACAGTATCAGGGCTGAGGCACAAGGTCTGTGACCAGTGGGAAGTTCTGAGAACTTGCCTCTCATAATCACAAGCTGTCAGGCTCCCTATCTCCTGGCTCTCCAGGAGAGCAGTGGAAGAAGGGTTTGTGCCTGACCAATGGGAAATGACTGGAGAAGCCTTTGCTTCTGCTTAACTCCTGTGTCCAGAGCTGCAAAGAATCCTGAAACAGGGAGCAGTCAGATGGGCTAGTGACGGTGTATCCATAGCTTCTTTTCCAATATTGCTTCATATCATGTGTATCCCGGGACCTCTTCAGTGTCTGTGTTAAAACAGCAGACCAGGGAGATTGGACACCTGTATCTGTCATGTCTAATAGATGTTAAATCTCATTTACGCTGTCAACTGGCTCGTGGGAAGCAGCTGCATCTAACGAAAGGCTCTGCATTACAGACCCGGTCATCAAGGCCTGTACCTGACAAGGAACGGTAACATTCCCTCCCACTTCAGTCAAAATCTTCTCACAACCGCCAAAGAACCTCACTAGTTTGTCCTTAATTCTTGGAGGGCCACACTCCCAACTGTGACATCAGATGGCAGCAGCCCCAAGAAGAGGTACAATGCAGATGTACTTAGAGGTGGGAGTCACAGCAGGCCATGAGGTCTGGGAGGAGGGCTGCTAGGTCCAGTGCCAGCTATCACCTGCCTGCTGTCCTTCTCCATCAGCTGTCCATCCGTCCAGTCCTCTTACCACAAGGACTACTCATCCAGCTTGGTGCCCAGCCCACTCCTGTCTCTGCAGCTGCCTCAGCTTGTGGGCCTGCTTCACTGAGGGGTACCAGAGTGCCACAGTGGATGAGGGTGACCATCAACTTCGGGTAAGCCAAGATTCCAAAGGGAAAGGGCCATCACAGCCTAGAGGTGACATCTCTGTAGAGGGTCTCGTTGCCCAGAGTAAAAGCTGAAGGCCTGGGTCAGAGCTCCTGCACTCGAGGAGAAATCAGGCCATGGAGGAGGAGAGCAGCCAAGGTCCAGAGGCAGCTGGGGGAGGAGGGAAGGCAGTGTGCCTGGCGGTGCTATTTTAACCAGACCTTGATTTTTGCAAGGCTGTGATTCTGCCTGTCACTCTACAGTTTATACTACGGTGTTAACAAGGGGTCTAGGGGAGAAACAAGAACAGAGGAGCTATGATTTAATAATGGCATATTTTTGTGTCAGGGTGACAAAGGGTTCAACTATATTGGTTAATTTTTGTCAACTTGAAATGAACTAGAGTTACATGGGACAGGAGGCCTGAACTGAGAGATCGCCTGCTGTGGGCTGGCCTGTGGGCACATCTGTAGGGCATTTTCTTAATTAATGACTGATATGTGAGGGCACATCCCACTGTGAGTGATGTGGCCCCTGAGCAGGTGGTCCCATACTACACAAGAAAGTAGGCAGAACAAGCCATGAAAAGCAAGACAGGAAGCAGTTCCCGTGGTTTCTGTTTCAGTCCCTGTCTTCAAGTCCCAGCCAGAGGCCCTACCCTGGCCCCCTCGAGGACGGACTATTAACTCATTCTTCAAGCTGCTTTCGGTCAGTGTTCATCACAACAACAACAACAAAAACTTGAGCAGACTCATTATAAAATATGTATAATATATAATGCATCAAATATGCATTCAGGATCTGTACCTGTCACTGCATATAACATACATCTCTACTTTCAAAAACTTTCATAAAAACACACATCTCAAAGTGCCTGGGCCCAGGTACTGCGGCATACACCAGAACCCCAGCACTGCAGAGGTGGGAGCAGCAGGATGGAGCACTTGTGACTGGCCTGAGTTACATACATGCTCAACTCCAGCCAGCCTGGGCGACTACAAAAACCCTACCTCAAAAGCTGAAAGGAGAACAGCCAGCGTGGCTGTGACTTCACAGTCTAAGTGTGGTCCTCCCATAGCACGGCTGCGCATGCCAGCTACGTCTCTCCGTCTGCGCTGTAGAAAACCGCTGTGACAGCCTCGGAAACAGAAATACCCAGGGGGAAAGCACTTGCCACACAAACCTGGAGGCCTGAGCTCAGTCCCAGACCCCATGTATAAGAGGAAGGAGAGAACCAACTCCAGAGCTGTCCTCTGTTCCACACATGCACAGTGCCATGTGATCCCACACACATGCACGTCATGAAAACACACATGAATAATCTTTATTTTAAAAATGGTTTAAGTAATAAAAAGTAGAAATACTGCACCCTACTATGGCTCTACTCATGAGTACTGGACTACACATTTAAAAACAATAAATAAAAACAAAACAGCATTATAAAATTACAGCATAGAAATGTACATTTTTTTTTGGCTGAACACACATACAGGACTAGTTTAAATAAATGAAGGAATTTAAAAATAAACTTAGGGACTTGGTTGTAGCTTTGTGGCAAAATGTGTGCTTAGCCTGGGTAAGCACCCAGGTACAAACACCAGCACAAAAACGTTTTGATAAACAAATTTATGTGATTTAAAATTAAATAAATTGATTTGTAACTACTGAGAAAAATGTATAGTGGATAGTACTGTTAAATAGCACAAAAAAGAAAAAGAAAAGAAAAGAAAAGAAAAAGGGGACCACAGAGATGAGTTACATCATGAATGTCATTTTCCAGGCAAGAAAACAGAAGCTGGAGGCCTTAGCCATGCTGTGGGATGGGCTCTAGGGCCGATTCCCGGTGTGTTCCTGCTCCGTGTGTTCCTGCTCTGCATCACAGCACTCATGCCAGACAAGAGCAGCCCACACCACCATCACAGACACCATCTAAGCTCTAACAGCCGTGGCACACTCAGCGCCCTACCCGGGCTGTCTCTTCTTCCTAAGAGTTCACTCAGAGAGCACAGGGCCAGGGAGAAGACGGCAGGCCTTCATACCTTTGCAGCCCCTGGGGCCAGACCATCCTCAAAGGGAGGGGCAGGAAATCGGCACTCCTACCTGTCCCCTCCTGTAACTCAAACTCAGAGCGAGAAGACTGAAGGTCGTGGTCCTGAGGACAGGTCATCTGTCCCCTCTATGCTTGTTGAAATGACAACAAACCACTTTCAATGCTGTATCAGTAGAAGGACTTCAATGTCTGTCTTTACACAGCAAACCAGGCTTCCTTGGCATAATCCTAACCAACATATCTATTTGATAAGAGAAATGGCTATGTAGGTGAAGCACATTTGATTCCCTTGATATGAGCAACACGCGCGTGCACACACACACGCACAAGCAGGGTCAATCTTGAACCTCCAGGGTAAAGAAGCCGTTCTCACCTGTAGTGATGTTCTGCTCATCAGTCCTCTTCCTGTTCCTAGAAGAATCAAAACATGGAGGGGTAAATCCTACTGTATCTTAGAGATCTTGGGGGCCCCTTCAGGACTGAAAAAATGTCCTAACAGTGCCATGCTGCAGGTGGGTCTCTTGGCTTTCCCTCCCAGGGAAGATGGGATCAGGAAGCTGTTCTAGAATATGACCTGGCCTCTCTGTGGGTTTGCGTTCCTGGAACAGCAAAGCTGGGTTCTAGGTCAAGATCTAAGGACCTTGACACAGAGACAATGCTGACACTTCCCAGGATGAGCTACAACCTAAGAAAGTGACTTAGTGACCAGTCTTTGACATAAAAACACAGAGTTAAACGTCCTGTCCTTGGCTGACAATATAGTTCACACCAGCGGAGACGTTGACCAAAGACAAACGGCGAAGCCCAAATACAGCAATAGATGTGCTTCTGGAAATGACAGAGCCACTGCAGGAACCACCCCTGCCTCCCCCCACCCCGTACCCGCCTTCAACACGACTCTCACCTGGAAAGCAGGCAGGTACTAAGCCTGTGTCTTCAAACTTCCTATCTTTCAGCCATTTTTTCAGCTCTATAAACTCAGGTCTGTGGCTCTCGTTCACTGTCAGGAGAGGCAAGGGCACACCACCATTAACAGCATTGTATCAATGGCCAGCATGCAAAGGTACAATTCTGATGAAGCAGATCAAACAGGCAGATCATAAAGGGAATGAATCTCACTAAAAATGAAAATGATACACACTAAACAAAAAAGTCATTTACTGTATGATTATTTCAATGCATGCACAAAAATATCTGATAAAATCTAACATCAGTCTGATAAAAATTATCAGCTAATGAAGATAGAAGGAAATCCCCAAGCCCAGATAAATAACATACAACAAAAACACTGGTGGGGGTTGAGATGACAGGGCAGGGGCTATGGCCCCGGGTAGAGCGTCTGTTCCACACTTATAGTCCTGGCTCCATTCCCAGCACCGCCAGGCAGCTTTCGCACTAACAGGGAAACATAAGGAGTCTGTCTCTGCCCAGCGAGCCAGCTCCCAAACAATAACACTGAGAGTTACCATGAAAGCCCGGTTTATAGCTCAGTCTTGTTCCTAACTTGCTCTTAAACTGAAATTAACCTGTTTCTAGTGATCTACATTTCACCATATGGCTTTTTACCTCTCTTTCATTCTGTATGTCCAACTCATTGGCATCTCCTCTGCATCTGGATGATCTCCCCCTCCTTCTTCTCTCTGTGCCTGGAAGTCCTGCCTATACTTCCCGCCTAGCTATGGTCCATTCAGCTCTTTATTAAACCAATCACAGCAATGTATCTCCACACAGTGTACAAACAGCCTACAACAGTGAAAAGTTAAGTGACCTCCTGTAAGATGAGGAACAAGGAAAAGATAGACATCTCTCATTTTCCCTCAAAAAGATAAAAGCTATTTAAGCAGTGTAATAAGCGAAAATAAATAAAAGAACCAAATTGGGGGGGGGACAAAATTTTCAGGACACATAAGCATAATCATGGAATATCTAAGAATATCAAAACAACAAATGAATTTAGCAAAGTTGTAAGATTAAAAAATCAATATATAAAGATTAATTTTGTTTACATATATTAGTAATAACTAAAAATTCAAATTCCAAAAATGCTGCTAAAATATAAATTTTGGGTCAGTGGAATTTGGGGTTTTTGTTGTTGTTGTTGTTGTTGTTATTGTTGTTCTTTTAAGACAGGATTTCTCTGTGTAGCCCAGGCTGTCCTGGATCTCACTCTGTAGACCAGGATGGCCTCAAACTCAAAAGATCAACCTGTCTCTGCCTCAAGTGCTGGGATTAAAGATGTGCACCACCACTGCCTGACAAAATATGAAATTCTTAATGATCCAAATATATATGTACATGTTTGTATAGATAATGACTTACACATCAAAAGCTATAAAATACTGCTAAAAACAAGTAAAAGGTACATAATAAACATGACTTTTAGATTTTATGCTCCTTTTAGTTATATACTGAAGTGCTCGAGAGAGCTGGACATGAACTCTAAAGTGAACAACCAGGGTTAGAAGACACAGGGTGGATCTTCATGATGGTGGCTTAATAAAAGGGGACTGAGGATGCATCTCAGTGGTACAACATGCACTTATGCCTGAAGACATAGATCTGATGGCCAGCACCCCTTTCCAACAAAAGTAGGAAGAACACAGATGTCCTTGCCACACGAGGACACGGTGAGAAACAAGCTAGCCACAAGGCAGGCAGACAGCCCTTTCCAGGAACCAAGTTACCCAGAACCTTGATGCTACATTTCCCAGTCTCTACTACAAGTTATTCTGCTTAATTTACTCAATCTCAGAGAGAGAGAGAACTATATACTGTGGTAGCTTGTATGTAATTGGCCCCCATAATCTCATAAGGAGAGGCACTATTAGGTATGCCTTTATTGAGGTGGGTATGGCCTTGTTGAAGGAAGTGTGTCACTGTGGGGGCAGGCTCTGAGGTTTCCTACGACCAAGGTACCGCCCAGGATCTGAGTCTACTTCCTGCTGCCTTCTGATCAAGAGGTAGTCAGCACCATGTCTGCCTGTAACTCAATGTCATGACGATGAAGAATTGAATCCCTGAACTGTAAGTCACAACCTCAATTAAATGTTTTCTTTCTAAGAGTTGAGGTGGTCATGCTGTCTCTTCACAGCAATAGAAACCCTAACAGAAGTTGGTGCCAGGGACTGGGGCATTGCTGTGATAGGCCTGGCCATGCTTCTGCTTACAGGACTTTGGACTTTGGTACTTTGGGTTAGGAAAGCAGTGGAATGCTTTAATCACTGTTTAATAATTCATATGAGTAGGAACAGGGAAGACAGTGGTGCTAAGAGGTATTTGAACTGCTGGGGGCTCGCTCAACAGATTTCAGAGGAGAAGAATTTTATTATGTTGCCTAGAGATTGTTGTTGTGATATTTTGGTGAAGAGTGTGGCTGCTTTTTGCCCTTGTCTCAAGAGTCTGCCTGAGGCTAAAATAAAAAGTTTGGATTAATTCTGTGTGAGCAGACCCTCGTCCACACAGGGCTCTCCCATGAGGAACACTGTGAGCACACGGGACCCCCTCCCCAGTCACCTCCTCTGGAGTCACAGCTCCGCCTTCGCCTTCTGACTCTCCCCGTTCTTCCTCTTCGCTTCTGCATATTAAAACCAGCGCCTTGTCGTCGCCTTCAGCCTATAATAAGAAGAACCTCAGTCCTACTCATTAGGAGGATGAGTGAATATACAAATACACATTTTGGTGAATGTTTTCATTTTTTAAAAAGTCCTTTTCTTAAAAGCTTTGTACACCAAAACTTTTACCAAGTGATAAATCGGGATCCCTGCAGTAACAAATACCCATAATGGGTCCTCTAAACCTGTGGGTCATGTGGGTCTCAACCACGGAGGTCACGGAGGTCCCACATCATAGATCCTGCACATCAGATATTTACAGAACAGTTCATAACAGTAGAAAAATTATAATTATGACATAGTAGGGCACAAATTCTAAGAGGTATTAATAATAAAAACCTAGAGTCAGACGAGGGGTTAATGCTGGAAGATCAGAGAAGCAGAGCAATCAGCCACTAGAGTTCTTACCTCTACCAATGCTCAGACCAAAGGAGCAATCCTGTCCTCAGACTGCTCCTTAAACTGACTATTTCAGACTGCAGCCTCAGACTGCATCTCTGAGCTCCGGTCTCCTCCTGCCTTATATTCCTCTCTCCACCCAGCCATATCACTCCTGTCTCTACCTCCCTAGCGCCAGGATTAAAAGTGTGGGATCCCAAGTGTTGAGATCAAAGGTGTAAACTCTGTTTCTCTTTGAGACTGGATTCAATCTAGTGTATTCCAAGGTGGCCTCAAACTCACAGAGATCCCTTGGTCTCTCCCTCTTGAGTACTGGGATTAAAGGTGTGTGCCCCCACCACCTGGCCTCTAGTGGCTTAGCTCTGCATTCTGATCTTCGGGCAAGCTTTTTGTTGTTGTTGTTGTTAAAACACAAACAAATTATCACTACAACATAGCAGTGAGGAACAAGGGCAGCAGCATTAGGAAGGTTAATAACCTCTGCTCTAAAAAGAGAAAACAAAACCATCTGGAGGTCCTGCTGACCAGATTCTCACCCCTGACTTCCTAGACATAGCCTTTGGTGACTTTCACAGTTCAGTGCCGGCAGCACCCAAGAACACACGGGAACTGGAGACATGGCTCAGTGCATACGTGCATAGCACACGTGTAATGCCCAGATGTCTGTGAAGGCAGAACACCCACACACATAAAATAACAATAAATAAATACCAAAAAGAATACACCGTCCTTGAGTCACCCATCAGCTCAAAAGTCTTAGAAAAAAGAAATAAACCCCCATCAGTGTCAACTGGATTTTTTGACACTAGGGTCTAGGAATAAATATAACTACGTTAGGGAGAAAATGAAAACCAAGATAGGAACAGAAGCCAGAGATGAGCAGAAGACAAAAGAATGACCACTGCTTTCTACATTAGACTCTCGAAAGCTTCCCGAAAAGGGAAAATTCAGGGAATACAGGCAACAGAGTGGGGATCAACTGTAGGAATTAACAGAAATAAACACAAGCATTTTTGGAAGATATACGCTAAGATGTAAAACTAAGCAAGAAATAGTGAGGAAAAATAGAGTTCAAGTCGGGCATTGGTGGCGCAGGCCTTTAATCCCTGCACTTGGGAGGCAGAGGCAGGCGGATCTATGTGAATTAGAGGCCAGCCTGGAGCGAGTTCCAGGACAGACTCCAAAACTACAGAGAAACCCTGTCTCGAAAAAACAAAATAATAATAATAATAATAAAAATAAAAATAAAATTGAAGAAAATTCTAAATTAAAAGATGGGGGCAGCTGGAGAGATGGCTCAGTGGTTGAGAGCACATGCTGCTCCTACAGAAGAGCCGGGCTCACGTGTAATCCCAGTCCTAGGGGATCTGATGTCCCTTCTGGCCTCCACACGCACTGCACGAACACAGTACACAGACATGTGTAGGTAAAACACCTCTATACACAAGATAAGATAGATCCCTTTGGGGCCTGCCTCTGAGCAGAGCGAGAGGGGGGGGAG